TTATATATTATACATATTATATATTATATATATTATAATATATTATAATATATTATATAATTATATATAATTATTATAATTATATTTATTATATCATAATTATAATTATTATAATAATTATTATAATTATTTTATTATTATTATATATATTATATATTATTATATATAATATATAGGCTAATATTTATATATACATATAATATATATTATATATTATATATTATTATAATTATTATAATTATATATATTATGTTATATATATTATATTATTATATTTATTATATTATAATTATTATAATTATTATATTGTATATATATTATATATATAAATATATATGCATATATATTTATATATATTTATATATTATATATATTTATATATACAACATTGAGATCTCATAGCAAGGTTAACAGTACTACGCAGAATATTATATTGTAACTGCCAGTGTACAGATTTATTTTGCTCCCAAATTTGTTATTTCTTGGGACACCACTCATAGGATTTATAATGCATATAAACTTATTTTACTTGTAAGAATACCTGTTAGCAGCAGGTAGAGCATGAAAACATATTTATAAGATGGCAACAACTATGAGTAAGACCAACTGATTAAACCATGATGCTTTTCTCCCAGATGTTTCTGTCTCAGTTCCTAGACCTTTACTTTCTACTCAGTGTCAGCATGCCCCTTTCTTGCTTTCCACTTGATGCCAGTGGAACTCTCAGAACCAACGGTATCCAATAATATATTAAGCTTTAATTCTTGGGAAATTTTTAAATCCTTTTTTATTTTCCTGACTTTTTAAATGACTTTCCTCAGGATTTGAGATTCGAATAAACATAAAATTTCCTGAGAAATTCTAGGAATGCCTTCCCGTAAGGAAATGCTACTCTATCCAGAGATCATGGCTTTGAGCCTTCAGCATCTGTCCCAAGGTGAACAGCATCCATTGGGAGTTACTAATCAGCAATATTCACCCAGTCTTCCTAATTTTATCTCCCTCGTATCCCAATTTCCAGGAATACCTGGCACTGCCCAGTTCTTGAGCTTCTTGAGGATTTACAGGGTAAATATAATTAGTTTCAGTTTTTCCTTCTGCCAATTTATGGGTCATGATTCTTGGGGGTCGAAATAAATTTCCATTCACTCTTGCTTGGGCTTTTCAGTTTTTCAAATTGTATTGTTCTTATCTCCTTTCCTAACGCTCTGTCCTTTGGATCTTTACTAGTTTTAGTGGGGTTTCAATAGGGAGCAAGATCAGAAGTCAATCTACCATCTGAATCCAACAGGAATCTTCATTTTTAACAAGTATCTTAAGTGACTGTGTTGCAGGTAGTCTCAAAACACACTTTCAAACACTAAACTAGAAGACAGTCAGTAGAAAGTGCCCAGAAGAGTGAGAACACTGAGAAATACTTGAAGAAGCTGAGAAGGTTTATCAAGGGGAATATG